CGATTTAAGATTCAGTCATATGTAATTTGTATCTCACAATCACAACTCCTTGTGATTAACAAATCACCAAGACTTGAATCTACGGATTCTATTATTTAATTTATTAGAATATTAATTCAATTAAATAATAGATATTGCCATATATATGCATTGATTATATATATTCAAAGTGTTTATGTCCAAAGTTGATTGGACCTAGGGCATAACACTTACACCATGCCCTTGCCCGCCATGTGTTGTTCTACCTCAAAATTCAAATTGTATGGAATTCTTTGGTCAACTGGAAAATAGGGACTGGAACAGAGAATATTATCTTCATCTTGACCTTTTTTATTTTATTTTATTAAGTTTAAATTCTAATAATAAGTTAATGGGTGGAACGAGACAAAAAAGTGAGAATATTTAATTTTAATTTCGCCTTTTGAAATTTTTTTACAAGAAGCATAGGCCACCTTGATCTCATCCCCTATCTTTTTGCCATCCCTATCTCATTTTTATCTCCTATCCTTTTCCCTTGTGCCCCAAGATTTGTCATCCCATTGTCTTGTAACTTCCTTTTCTCTCTATCAAGTTTAGCATTGATTCCATTCTCTCTCCTGGTTGGGCCACCCCCTCCCTTCCTCCCTCCTACTTCTCCTTAATTTTTCCTAGAGATGAACAATTTAGAGAGAAGAATTTTACATTTTAGGGTATGTTTGGTAAAAATTCTCATTTTCAACAGTAAATCAATTCTCATTTTCAACCACAGTAAAAAGTTATTTTATTATAAAAGATAGTGTAGTTATTAGAATAAAAGAAAAAGTTGGTGTGTAAAGGGATCATATCACTATTCAAAATCAATTCTTCCCCCAAAAAATCCCTACCAAACACACACTTAATTTAAGAATAAAGGTAAAATTGTATTTCAGTATAATCTGACATTTTATTGCAATAGATGCAAAAACCCATTAGTTTACAAATTTTAAAAAAGGATTTAAATGACAAGAAATAAAATTTTAGAATCTATTTGTATAAATATAATAGGTTGGGACTTCCACTGAAATTTTCTCTTGTTTCAATGACCTTTTTCAACTTTGGAAGTTAGCTTAGAAGAACCGATTTAACCAACGAAAATAAAAAACTAAATTGGTGTACTTTCCTCTTTGAAACCGAAGCTTCACTATCAATGGATGGAAAAACAGCTAAACACCTGAGTTTTAAAATTATTTTCTCATAAGCGGCACCCACACGTACCTTTCGTAAGTACCATCTGCTACTTTTGGATCTTGGTTTTTTTTTTTTTTTTTTTAAATTCAAATGTTGGAATTAATTTGAACTTTTCTTTTTGGCGTGTCATGGGTTATCAAGAATCTAAGATTCTTATATAATATTTTGATGGGCCGGCTAAAATCTATTGTTTCATCAATTTTAAGATTGCTGATAAATTTTATCTATTTTATCCTCTTTATGTCTTTGATTAATTTTGGTTTTAGAGCTAAAAAGAATGTTTCTTGGATGATCTATTGAGCTTTCCTTGATCAACTTTGTGTGATGATTATGGGTTTTGTAGATTTCTACTTCTGTTTCAATAAAAGTTTCATAATTGTTTTTCAGGGGCTTTGAGTGTTTTCTTTGATTGTAATTGATTGAAACAGATAATTTTTTTTTAGGACACATGAGGATTGCTTGACATTTCTTTTCAATTTTACAGCTATGTGATATTTGATTGTCCTGCAATCAAGTGAAGAAACTATTGAAAATGATTCTTTAACATAAAGTTCATAAATTTTCTGAGCATAAAGCACTATTTGAAAGCAATATGATTTCAAGCGAGAATGGTGATAATAGTGTTGTAGCTCAGGAATCTAATAGTACAAAAGTCAAAAGTAATGTTCCTTTGCACATCTCAACATCTCAAAGGGGTCTTGTAAGTGATGAAAATTCAGGAAATGGGCTTGGTAACAGGTTTTCTGCTCTTTCTAAAAGGCTGAGATTCCTTAAGTTTGGCAATTTGTCTTCTCCATCAGCAAAATTTCAGCGGATTGCTGAGGAGAGGGATGAAGTCTCTCGCAGTGTACCTTCTTCTACCAGTCTTCACATCCTTGAACGCTTTAATAGGATTTTTTCTCAGAAAATTGATTGGAATTGTCTTGGGAAAATTTGCAAAGAATGGATAAGGGATCCCATGAATCTGGCTCTTTTTATCTGGATTACCTGTGTTGCTGTCTCTGGTGCTATTCTGTTCATGGTCATGATTGGGATGTTGAACCATGCCATACCTAAGAAGTCTCAAAGAGATACTTGGTTTGAAGTCAATAATCAAATTCTCAATGCACTGTTCACCCTGATGTGTTTATACCAACACCCAAAGCGAATATATCACCTAGCCCTACTATTGAGATGGAGGCCCGAAGATGTTTTAAAGCTCAGAAAAGACTACTGCAAGAATGGCACTTATAAGCCCCATGAGTGGGCTCATATGATGGTGGTTGTGGCTCTACTCAACCTTAATTGTTTCGCTCAATATGCATTATGTGGTCTTAACTTGGGATACAGGAGATCTGAGCGACCAGCTATTGGGGTTGGAATATGTATCTCTGTTGCCATTGGTGCCCCTGCAATTGCTGGTATTTACTCCATGCTTAGTCCACTTGGGAAAGACTATGAGACTGAGTTGGATGAAGAAGCACAACTTCCAGTTACCACTGACGGAAGTAGCAAACCAGATCAATTGAGGAGACAATCATTTGAAAAGAGATTTTCATTTGCATTGAGGGATGAGGAAAGAAACGTTGAGAGTAGACCTCTGTGGAGTGGCGGTATTCTTGATTTTTGGGATGATATTTCTTTAGCTTATCTCTCACTATTTTGTAGCTTCTGTGTTTTTGGATGGAATATGGAGAGACTTGGGTTCGGTAACATGTATGTTCACATTGTTACTTTTCTTCTATTTTGTATGGCTCCTTTTTGGATTTTCAACCTGGCTGCCGTTAATATAGACAATGATACTGTCAGGGCAGCATTAGGTGTTACCGGTATTTTCCTTTGTGTATTTGGGCTACTATATGGTGGTTTTTGGAGGATTCAGATGAGAAAGAGATTTAATTTGCCTCCATATAACTTTTGTTTCGGTAAAGCAGCTGTTGGTGACTTTGTTCTGTGGCTTTTCTGCTGTTGGTGTTCTCTAGCTCAGGAAGTACGGACAGGTAATTCATATGAGATTGTGGAGGATAAGTTCTGCAAGAGAAAAGGTGACCAGTTGCCAATGTCCTCTTTGCCTCGTGAAGATAGGGAATTTCAGTTTAGGTCCAACCCTAGTTCTCCTCTTGGTTACAGCTCCTCTCCATCACATAATATGAAAGCCAACTCCCCAAGTCCTAGCCGCTTTTCAAAGGGATACCACAGTCCAGAAAGGCAGCTTTCTTTAATTGAAGAAGAATCTCATATGCAAGGTAAAGATGAAAAGATGACACCACCTTCACCTTCAGTAATAAGGAGAGAATAGATTTCACATTGTGATTCGTAATATGATTCAAAGACCAGGTATGTAAATTTATGGATTTTGAGGTGTATCCAACTATTCATAATTCCAAATGTAAGTCAAATTTGTCTTTTTCCATTGATTGTTTGGTGAATATTAACGTTGTTGGTGCATTGTTTTTCTTTTGATATCTCTTTTTCTTCCATTTTGTCCATAAATGCATTATAGGGTATAAAGTTCTTGGGTGGTTTTGCAGGCTTGCGTTTAGGTTCTGTCTTTGCATTTGTTTATTTCAGTTTTCCCTTTTTTTGCATTCTCAACAGGAAAAAGATAACTTAAGTGGTATGGTTCTATGCCACTAGAAATTGAATCGTGTGAAATGGGTTGTTGGAATAAGTGGAAGTATTCAGCAGAATTAACAATCAGCACAAGAGGCCAGCATATTCTCCAATGGTCCAGCTCACGTTCAACACCTTCCTTCCAAATCCTTCTATCACACAGCCAACACATGCTTCATCTAGATTCTTCTTTAATTTGTTATGTAGTTTGTTTGTTAGATATTTTAGCCTATAAATAGATCAATGTATTCACAATGTTAATTGAGCTTGATGAATAAGAAAATTCCCCTTTGTCAAGTTCCTTCAATGTGTTCATCATATTGAATTCTATATTTTCATTTTCAGGTTTCAGATAGTAGTAGCTTCAATTTAGTTTCATTCCTTTAGTTCGTAGTAGCTTAAGTCTCAGTTTCGTTCTTCTTTTGATTTGTTCTTGCTGGTTCATGTTTCTACTATAATTTCGTTTTTCTGCTGGATTGCTTCTGGTTTCAATTTCTCAACATGGTATCAGAGCATAATGGCTTCCTTTCCAGCTGCTCTTTTCTTCTTCGATAAAGTTTCTTTTCATCTCCATGGCAGAAGCTGAATTTCAGATTCAATCAACTTAGTTTTCTCGAATTTCCTTCAAGGTGTTCGACAAAAGTTCTCACTGGCGAGAGGCTTGGAGATTGCACTGATGTTAGGCATTTCCAGTTTTCATTTTACTATCAATGATGATGAAGTTTTTCTTCAGCAAATCCCCGGTTTCAGAGTCATGGATGCTTTTTCATTCCGGTTGAAATATATTGCTGTTTTTCTCTCTGGAGTGCTTCTCTTTCGACCCCATCTTCTCTTGCATCTCTGTTATTCCCTCTAAAACCCCAGATGTTCCATCTTGAGGGGGGTGTGTTGGACTAAGTGGAAGTATTCAACAGAATTAACAATTAGCAGAAGAGGCCAGCATATTCTCCAATAGTTCAGCTCACGTTCAACACCTTCCTTCCAGATCCTTCTATCACACGGTCAACACATGCTTCATCTAGATTCTTCTTTAATTTGTTATGTAGTTTGTTTGTTAGATATTTTAGCCTATAAATAGATCAATGTATTCACAATGTTAATTGAGCTTGATGAATAATAAAATTCCCTTTTGTCAAGTTCCTTCAATGTGTTCATCATATTGAATTCTATATTTTCATTTTCTAGTTTCAGATAGTAGTAGCTTCAATTTAGTTTCATCTTTAGTTCTTAGTAGCTTAAGTCTCAGTTTCGTTCTTCTTCTGATTTGTTCTTACTGGTTCATGTATATGCTATAATTTCATTTTTCTGCTAGATTGTTTCAGGTTTCAATTTCTCAACATGGGTCCTGACATGAATTGTTTTCTTATAAATAAATTTTTACTTGGAAAATGTCTTCTTATTTTGTGGTGTTCGATTGTCAAATTGTTGAAAGAGGTTTATATAGGAAACAAGCTGTTCGAGATTTTTCAAAAGAATGTTATTCGGAGTTTAGGCATTGAATTAAAGATGGAAATTACACATCAAGGATCTTGGGATTTCGTGCGGGCCGGACAGCGTCGGAGCATTTTGGCCAGCATTATTACTGATGCACATGCCAGTTTACGGTTTCTGCCACGTGTGTGTCACGAACAGACACCGTTGGTGTTTGTTCGTCCCATTTCTGTTTTTGACTGTAAAACTCAAAATTTTCATTTATTATTGACGTGATTTCAAATCTAAAAGGTACCAATGAACGGTTGCAACTTTAGTGAAAGGGTGTTTGGGAATCCGTAAATAAATTTCCAACATCTTTGGATTAAAAGAATGACAAAATTCAATCTTTGTTGTCGTCCACTTTAAAATTCTCTACATATTTTCTTGTCCTCTTTTCCGAAGTTTGTTTGAATAATGTCATACAAAATATAAACCTCGAGTATATGTCGTCTTCTTTCATTGGTGCTCGGACTGTTTTCGTTAATACACAACACTATCAATCACGACAGGATATTGGAATAATCATATAATGCCATAATTAAAAAATCCACTTGTGGCACGATTGTATTGTATATAGACAGATTTGTACAATTTAAAAGCTTTCCAGAATTACTAGCCTAGACTGATGACAATCACTGAAAACCGGCCTTGTAACAAGTAATGTAATTACCTAGGGGCTTCTATTTAAATAGAGGAACTCTAACATCAAAATTCATTCAATTCCAATTAACATGATATCAGAGCCGCAAACATAATTCAGTTTCGTTTCTTTTTTGGTAACTCTCTTTGGTTCGGGAAACTTGATTTGTTTGGGTTTCCTCTGGTTTCAACAATTTTTCATGGTCTCCATTTTGGTAAGTTTTGATTATAGGGGAGTTACCTTTTATGTGACTATCGATTTTGTCTACCGACGGCTTTCAGCCTTATTTGTTGGTTGCTGGTAGGTTTCCAAATCTTCGATTGAGTTGCCTGGCTGCTATGGTGGGTTCTGGCTGATAAATTTGTCATTTTTTTTAAA